CTGGAGGTTTTCTGCACGCTAATTTGAATTTGATTAAAATCAGCCAAGCCTATTACATTTATTGCAGGAAGTTAAGCAACTCGTACAAGTGTTAGGAGGATAGGGACCTTAGTGTGTCACCCGCGTTGCGTGAGTTGTTCCGCCAGCTATCTTAGCTCATCTGTGGCGTGAGGGTTCCTAAGGCCCGTCGGTATGGTTATTGAGGTGTAATAGCATTACAGTTATTGACCAAATGAGCTTTATTCCGGGGATTAATGTTGCAATTCCTGAAGCGCAGACGGGACCAAACTTGGTGGAGTATCAAGTCGGCAGAAATGAAGAATGCAGCAGTCGAGTGTGCTGCAGTGTGTTCCAAACTCGTACAAACCTTGTGGGTTCCTTCCATAATGGAAAGATCACAGTTTCCTAAGAAAAGGAGAGGTCATGAGGTTTACTTGTGGGGATTGTTTTACTTGACTTGTTAGTTGAACTCGTTAATGATGGCTGTAATTACAAGCTAAAAGTTTGCAGCTGTAGTTGTGAGGCTGTTTGCTGATGATGCAAAGCAAGGCTCGGAGATGCAGGAATCTGTAAGAAAGCAGCAGACAGGTACTTTGAGCCCTGTCAGTGTATGATGGAACTCAAGTAATTTTTGAAGAGTAGCTTTTAATTACCCGCTAAATGCTGTTGCATTCAACACCCTTTTTGTGAGACCAAGTTTGGTCACTTGTTTTTTATTCTGTAGTAGGTATCAAAGGCAATAGACGAACATAACAAAATACAGTTAATTTATCTCAGCAAAGATGTTCCATGGAAAATACTCAAAGTTTTTGGATACTTATGACTGTGAACTGAACCTGTATCCATGTTTCAGAGTATGTTTGTCCCACTGTACACAAACTGCTGAAAAGTAGTCTAATGTATATTAAAAATAACAGTTCAATACAGCTTTTTTAGGTAAAATAATGATATTGTAATTGAAAAGAGCTTGAATTTGTATAGTAGAATACACTGATTTTCAGTAAAGTACTAAAAATTTCATCATCTGTAACAGATAATGTTTCAAATGTTTGTCATTTGAGCTTTGGACTTCAACGTTCATTCTTTTTCAGATTTTTCTTACTGACTGTAAAACTAAATGAAACACACCCACAAAATAAAAATGAATCCTTACACCAAGAGCCAGAGGCCTCAAGAAATACTACAACAATGTGATATTTCAGATAAATGTCAGGGGAGCGCGCAGTGTTGCCTGTATGTGTAAGGTACTTTTTTATACGTGTAAGGTACTTTTTTTATACTGAACAGGTGAACTAATGTATTTCCATTATCAATCAGTTTGTTTTTAACATTCACAGAAACTACAAAGCATCATCTGCTGTAAAGTGATGTAAATTCTGGACACTTTAGTAACAAAGAAATTAGCCAATTACTTCTAGTAGAGGTGTAAAACAGGAAAGCTTTTGAGAAGGGGTATGGCAGGAGGCATTGTGGGCTCTAACATTTGGAGTAAGAACTTACAACTGGGAGCATAGAGAGAGAGATGAGCAGTAGTTCAGCTTGAGTAGAAGGAGATAGGCTGAGTAGGAACGGGCTTGTCTGTTTCCATTGCAGAGCTGGTCCAGGGTTGCAGCTGAGGTTAAGCCAGAAATACGGCTGAACGGGAAAAGAGGAGGAGATGGAAACGTACATCGTGTTTCAGTTCCCTCAAAGCCAACCCCTGGCTCTGAGGCGGCTCCTCCGAAGAGTGTGCTGGAGAGGGAGGAGAATCGGAAGCAAGAGTATGGTAACCAAGAACGGGGGAGCACACGAAAACGTGATTAGTGTCTGAGGTATTGATGGATGGAGGGCGTTATTACCTCTCCCAACTTCAGCTATTAGGAGGTTGGTCGCAGCTTTGGGTCCTCTGCGGCCGGTGTCCGAGCTGGCGGAGCAGCCTCTGGAAGAGCCGGTGGAGAGGACACCTCATGTGTTCTCAGAGGTGAGAGCGAGCCGGCCGGGCAGCTGAATCAAGAGTGGGGTTTTGCTACAACAGGCATTTTTGGGTTTTGATCACCAAGCTGGAGAGTAGGAAAAGAGAGCCAGTGAGAACAGGTACATAATGAATTCAGAATACATGGGGTCCCTGGAGGGGGGGAAATAAAAAAGGGATTAGTGTAAAAGAGCAGAGGTTTGAGCATTTTCTTAGTGCAGATGTAGACTGCTGAAGGCCTCGGATGGTAAGAGAGGAAAGAAGCCCAACAGAGGAGGGAGAAAATCCTTTCAGAAAGCATGGAGGCCAAAAATGGATATGTATATATTTTAATTAGTAGAACCCCTACAATGCAGTTGGTATTAGTTACATGAAACTGTAGTCTTTCCAAGAGAAAAACTGCATATGCTACAAATACTCAATTTTTCCACATCTGTAGGAAAGAAGCTAAAAGCTAAATCATAGATGTGAGGAATAATGTATTTTCTCCATTTTAAGAAATGAACTGTATAGCCTTTTCTGCACTGACTGTTACTTTTCCAAAGCAGCTTTGTGACATTTGTGGCTTACTGGGATTAGTCAGTGAAAACCAGTATAGTCTAAAGTTATTTTTCAGTCAGGCAAAGTTTTGGTGCGAGAAGGGAAAAGTGTGACCAGTTTCACGGTGGTGTTTTCTCAATATTCTTGGCAGGAGAGGAGGTGGTATTCTTGGTGCTGGTTTGGGCAAACGGTCAGGAATGTTTTCACGTATCTGTAAGAAACTGATCCGAGAAGGTGGGGTTTTGTGCTCAATCCAAACGTGTCCCAGTACGAGCAACGGATTTGGGGCAGTGCTGTTTGGACGCAGTTAAGCTTCAGTGTACAATGTCTGGAGTACTAGTCCTTGAAGAGGCCTTGTTGGGTGCAAGCCTGTGGGAGAATGTCCCCAGGGTCATCCAAATGGAGTGAAATACACAGTGGTCCTACAACTCTCTTTTTAGGTATTACAATTAACCCTACAGTATTTGGGGTGGACCCAGATTTTAAGTATAGTATCTGAAATGTGTTAAAGAAATATTTTTAGATAAAATACTGCTTTGAGGAGTAGCTGCTGGGTGCATACCTCAAACATAATTGTTAAAATAAATAACGTTGCCAAAAAGAAACCGTGGAAGTCTTTAATGTGATCTATTTTGCCTTCTGTGCTTATTAAGCATTGATTTTATGGTGGGTTTTTTTTTTTAATGACCTATCACAAACGTGGTATACCATCAACCACCAATTTTCAAAATGCTATTAAAATTGAAATACAACTGGAAATGCTAAGGGTTCAGAAAAAGGGATTTGAAAACAAATAATTCAGTTAAATGACTTTCACGGTACAACACGATGCGTGCTGACAGGACACTGAGTTAATGCCCCAAATAAAGGTGTAATTACTGGCTTTCTAGTGAGCTGATTAGAATACAATGGCTAAATGCAATGACCACAAACTTTTGATTTGTCTGAACCTTAGCATTTTGTCATCATTTGGGGAGACAAAAAGGGGTCTCTGAGAGAAGCCTTTGCGTGTTGCCACTGTGCTTCAGCTGTATTCTCAGCAAGCTGAAAGCTAGTCCTCGGTCTTGAACGCAGCGATGGCTTCAAGTGTGTTTGCTTGTAGGGTGTACATGGGTATGGATGTCATGCTTGAGGCTGCAGGTACATTCGCTTGTATCTGGGAAAATACAGGTGAACTAACCTGACTCAAATCTGAGCATTTTTCTGCTCGTTCTCCTGTTGCCGTACAGGGGTTCATCCGGGTAATACCCACCAGTGCAGGTGGCAGGTACGTACATCAGTGAGCAGACAGACCCCAGCAGGAGGGGGCCTTGTCAAGGCTGAATGTTATGAAGCACACGTGATATTAGTATTGCTTTCCTTCCTGTCCAAAATCAACTATAAACTAAAACAGAGGGATCCAGTTAATCAGAAATCTGCTCAAACACTTGTACAACAGGTGTTCTTGTGTCTTAAAATCTGCTGTACCTTTCGGTGCCCCAGCTGATGTTAGTGGAAAGGGCAGAAGCTAAAGCTCCAGGATAAGGAATATCTTGATTTATAACACAGTTAACAGCTGATAAGTCTGATCATGTGGCAACTTTTTCATCTTAAGTGCTGTTTCCTGTTGGTCCATCACTTATACTGAGCAATTTAAAATACCAAAGAATAAGGGGTTGTTGGAGGTGAATTAAAGCTACAGGAAGATGGAGCTTCAAGGGTTCATTTTCAATAGATATTTGAAACAAAAAGGAATCAGAATGTTCTGTTCAGAACCTGTAGTGCAAGTGGTAAAGAAACCATATTACTGTTTTAATTATTATTGCCTATTTAACATGAGATTTCTTGCAGCCATGTCCTTGAATAACCGTTTCTTAACTAAAATGACACAATTTTGTAGCCAGTGATCCATGACTTTAAATATTTGGAAGGGCTATTGATTCACTGAGCAGGAAGAAATTAAAGATGTTGAGGCATATCCTCAAAAGTAGAATTACATGTATTATAAATCATATTTGATTGTGTGTGTTCGAGTTACCATTTCAATAGTTTTAAAGAGCGAGGTACATGTAATCGGCCTTCAATTTCTCAGTAGTAGCCATCACTAAACCGTGGTGGTGGTGTTTAAACCAGCTGTGTGTAGTATTACGGGAGCTGCTAGCACCTACAGCACCTCCTCTCGTTCCCGTGTCCTGGCCCTCTGCATGTACCTGTTTGTGGTAGCCATTCTCTCTAGGTAAATTGTCCATAAGACCAATGATTCCATCAGCAAATTATCCAGAAAATGCCGTCAGTGCTCATGGTGACATTTGTGCCACTGGTGGGTTTGTTGCCATTTCAGTGGTCTAATTAAATTGGCAGTTTTGTCTTGTGCCAGCGTCGTCGTCTCCCTTCCTTCGGCACCTTAGCTCAGACCTTCTCCTTTTCTGTGTCCTTTTAACTGAATATCAAATGCATTATCGATTGCTCCTCTTCCACTCCCCTCCACGGGTTTTTCTTTATCCTTTTTTTTTTTCTTTTTGATTGGCAGTATCATCCCGACAAACAGAAGGCAGATGCGCCAGCAGGAGAAGTGGAGGAGCGTGTGCAGAGGTTCATCGAAATTGATCAAGCGTGGAAAATTCTAGGGAACGAAGAGACAAAAAAAGAGTATGACCTGCAGCAGCATGGTATGTTCCTGCCAAGGAGTGCTGTAGTGGCAGCAGCTCTTGAAATAAGCAGGGTCTGGAAGTGGTAGTTGGATGGTATTTTAAAATGCTGTTTATCGCTGAACCAAGCGGTTCTTTTGCTCCTGTCCCACTTTCAGATGTGGATCCATTATTTATAGCTCTTGCTACACATACAGGAGCTAGTGAAAACATTGAAATACTTCCAACAAAACCTTAGGTGGCATTATTCCTAATAATTTGAATGCCTATGAGATTTACGTTAATTACAGACCTCAGCCCCTTGTGTTTTATTAAGGCAGCTTCGCTAAGCGTTCTTAAAATGAAGCGTTACGCTACGTTTTGTTGCAGTCTCTTAGGTCTAGGTATTAATGCATTTATACCTACCGTTGGGTCGGAACGCGCGTCGGGCTCGTTAAGACACGCTCGTTTTGGCTGTGCGTGTGTTACGGCAGCTTTCATCATTCACCTGCAGTCTAAGCCAGCCTTTTTAAAGCAGGTTTATAAATCATATTTTAATATAGCACGTTAACTGGGCAGCTCTAGCATGCATTTCTTTTTATACCTCTCGGAAAATAGCTTCTTAAAACAGTGACAGGCTGTTGTGAGAAAGAAAGGGGGGAAATGTAGGTCAGGTCTGTCACACATGGGCTACCATTACATGAAGTGATAGGCTGTCTTTCTGCTCTGGCCTCAGGATAGGAGTCCCTCAGCCTTCCATTAGAACCTTCAATAAATGTATATCCACCCTACATGTTAATGGGGGGAGTCAATAATAGCGTATTGCCTGTGGGGAAAACACTCCGTCGCACTCTGCGGTAACACGCTCCGGCCCGGCATTGACGTGTAGCCACCACCACTTCTGAATGTGTCTGATAAAAGCCCACTGTCTCTGCAGCTTGTTATTGAATTCTCTTCCATTGTACGTTGGCACACCATCAGACCTTTCTCTCTTGTGCTGATTTTTAACTCCCCTGCCGCTGCGGATACCAGAACTTTGAGAGACAAAGGCATAGTCATTCTGGCAGATATGCATCACTGCAGGATAAAGAGAGTGATATATAATTGTATATACCCAGTGTGAATTCTCTAGTTAAATCATCTCGTGTTTCAGACTGTGTGTGGGTTTTGGAAAAGAGGGTGGAGGGCTGAAAACAGAATTGTTTGAATAAATATTTAAAAAGAATTCATCTCGCCCTGATTGGTTATGTAGGCAGGATTAAGGTCAAGCTGAAATAAATTTTCATCTCAAACGTATAGGTTTTTTTTAAAGGCCTGAATGTGATGCCATCACAGGAGTTTCTGCTACCCAGTGCTCTCGTACTCTCAGCACTGTAGCACTGGCTGTCTTCCTTTTTCACAAATTGAACGTGCACGGGGGGAAAAAACAAGTATCAGAGCTTAGGTTAGAAGTCTTGTGTCTCTAGTGAGTTTTACCTAGACCTTAAATACAGACCAGGAGGTTCTCCTTTGCTTGGGTCAGGTTAATCACTGAAGTTGAGAGCTACACGAAGATTTAATAAGCCACTTTGTTTTCCCATGTAATTTAAGGACCTGGCTATAAATTAGTTTTGATGAAAATAATTCAATAGTATATCTTAAAGGTTGTCTGTATTTCCTGAGATTCTTTTGCATCCCGATGAGTTCTTCGAAAAGCCGTCTCAAGATTCTGTAAAAAAACCCTGCGTAAATAAGGAAAAAAAACTGTACCTTTTTTTACGCAGGTACTTGGTGGCAGTACGCTAACGGGATAGACGTATTTTAACACAGAGGGTGCTGCTCCCAGAGGACCCGTCTTTCGGACGAAGCCACACGTAACGCGCGTGGGCAGCGTCGCCGCGTTCTCCGCCGTGTTACTCCCCGCAGCGCAAGGGTGGTGAAATCAATTCAGCTTCTTTGCTTGCCAGGTGGCTTCTGAAGTTGCGATTGTAGACAAATTCGTAGACACTGCTGCAAAAAGCTCATGGAAAGAAAGAAAATGGGCCAGCAGCTGCGGGGCGTAACGAGGAGAGAGAATACAGCAAGCTGGGGAGCCTGGGAAGCAGAATCGGAAGGGCGGCAGCGCGCGTGTGCGTGTGGCTGCCAGGCAGCAGGAAGCCCTTTGCACCGTCGCCTCTTCCCACTTCACACGTTGCTTGTTTGCGTGTACCACCTTCTTTTATACCAACTAAATCTTTTGTTTCTTGGCCTAGAAATTCACTGGCCAGAGAAGCTCTAAGAAGGTGAAATTTGGAGGGGCTCTCTGGGTTGGTTTTTTACTGAATGCTTAACAAGTGAATGTGCCTTCATATCGTAATACTTCTTTTCTCTGAGGGTATCACAATGGTCTGCTACTAATTTTCTGTGCCTTCAGGCCATAGTATTAAAAAGGCCAAACCTTAAACCACTGAGAGGTTTATTTAGGTTATTCCATCCCAAAAGCAGGAGTTAATCTTTGTCGAACCCTTCGACGTCCCTGTCGGCCCACTTCTCTATCCTGTCAGGGTCCCTTTGAATAGCAGCCCTGCGACTTTTGTGCGTTTTTGTTGACCAAGTACAAAGGAAGCGTGTATCTAAACAATCACATAATCGAGTTAATTGATTTTAGTAATTCATTTTAATTATTGATTAATGGAAAGGTCACAATTTAATTGGTAACCTAGAGATTTGGATTAATTTCTGATACTAAATGTAGCAAATAATTCAAAGCTAGCAATGGGATTGACACTAAAACCCATTTATATATATTTTTGGGGCTGGGGGTGGAGAAATTAAAGAATCTAGGGCTTTTTCCATCTATGGCTCCAGTGAGGTTCTGTCCAGGATAATGTGTTTTTACATGATGGACAGAGGTGTCCGTGAAGCCCAGGTGTATACAGGGTGGGGGATGTAATCACCAGTAGTTTTCACACCACAGCACATCTTTCAATTTTTTCATTAAGTTTTTAGAAAAATATTGCAGATACAGTTTCCATACATACCCCAGCATGGTTTTCCTTTTGTTTTTCCATCATTTCTTAGGCATAGGGAATTGCAGGTCCTAACTGGAATTGCCAGTGTTCCAGCTTGCGCCCTTTGTTTCTGAGAACAAGTCTGGTTCCACCCCCTTTGTACCTGCCCTTTAGGCAGTGAGGCACAACAAAAATCATTAGTTAGCTTAAGATAGCTGATTTTAAACCACGTAGTCACTGGTTCAGCTTTCACTGACAATGCCAATCTCTTTAAATCCTGGAAAATCTTTGAGGAAACTCATGGAAGTTTGTGCTCAGGTTTAGAAAGGGAATCTTGTACAGGTGCGGTCATGAAGTTGGAAAATGAGAAACCAAGCTAAACAGAAGGTAGCTTCTTCCCCCATTCCTCTTCTAGTACAGTAACCTGCAAAGACTGTTTTGGAGATGGACGCTTTCCCTCCTGCTCCAGCATTCCCTCCTGCTCCAGCAATGAAGTGATGATTCCGTATCTGACATCAAGATGCCTTACGTAGTTTGGTAAATAGGGTGCCAGGAGAATAACCCCATGAATCCACCAGGAAAACAAGCAGGAGGAAAGGCTGCCGAA